ATGGAGTTTGAAAATGAAATGTTGATATAGTTGGATATATAACGATGAACAATGATTTTTACTAATTTAATTTTTAATAAAACAAAAAATATTAATTTTACCTAGATACCAACGAATAAAAATTGTGTTAATACCTACTATACACATAATTACGTATTATTAGTTGCTACTCTCAATACATTTTAAAAATATTTAGGCTATTTTTAAGCTATATTATAGGCAAGTGTAATATTTTAATTAGCTTAAATTTCTCCAAGTTTGTTTTTAATTCTAGGTTACAATACTGGAAAATGTTTATATAAATATCTGAAGTTCAATTCTTTCTTTTTCATTCAGGATCATTCGTATCAATTATATTATCACTTCCATTTGAGTGTCCTTATTGGTAGGAGCTTATAAGGTTATACTTTAGAATTGCTTTATAATATATAGGTGAAGTGTAAGTCCTGCATTGTTTACAGTAGATACTCACACTCTACAGTATGACTTATATATTTAGATAATATTGTAAAATAAAATTATATGATAATTTGTTTAAAATATGCTCAGGTTTTTACTTCTATACAGTAAAGTACAGATAGTGAGGAGCTCAGTTTTTAAAAAATAGAATAGTTAGTTAATATATATATTTTTTTTTAAGAAAGAATACAAATATTCACGATAAATTATACATTTTAAGGGCATGAATTTCCTATTTTAGTAAGAATATTTACATGAATATGTTATAGTAAAAATTTACTTTAGTTTATTATAATATGCTACTATATTTCATTTTAGAAATGCTTTATTTTAACCTGGAAATGTTAGTGACCATTTAACAACAAACAGTCATTTATCATAAAATATATAAATTCTAATTTTTTTTTCTCTCCGTGATTGTTGGTTTGTTCTTTTATTTTTGGGAAATAAAAATCCACAAATTTTCAAAATATTATTATAATATTAAATAATTCGATTATTTTTAATTTTTATTACAATACTGTTATTTGTTTTTGTTTAATTTCTGGTTGGATTTGGATATATTTTTTGTTATTATTAAGAATAATATCATTTACGATTTATACTAAAATAAGACAATAGTCAATAAGCATACATTTAATAAATAAATAGGTACATTACAGCATGAATCACCATTTCACAACATTGATAACATATCTGAATTAAAAGGTAACATGACATTTGAGTTATAGGCTGAGTGGTGAGTTTTTTTCGATTGCTTGTTGGTAGACATGAGAAATAATTGGATGATGGTGTTACTGTTTACTTATCGGCGAAAATATTTATTAACTGTTTTTAATATTTCTACAGTTGTTTACTTTTAAGTTATATTATGTAAAGAAATATTTAAAATGGAGCGTTTGTTATAGTATACTTAGTATAACGGATTGGAATGACTAAATTATTGGCCTGGAGAGCCCGAAGAGAGTTTGGCAGGACCTCAGATTGCAAATCCACTGGACTAAACAGGCCTTTTGAGTATAGCATGTATTGAAAGTTGTAGATATAAATTGTTATATTGTTGATTTTAGAATACAGTGAAACCTCTGAATAGCGGACACTCTCGGTCGCCGAAATTTTGTCCGCTATTTAGAGGAAAACATTTTTTTTAATAAATAAATAAATTCAATAATTTTATTTTATATTATTTTTATTTTAATTAAATACTCGATAAAAATAAAAACTACCTAACATTTCTGAAAAAAATCTGTTACTTTAGTTTGTTTACTAATTGCAGGCGTAATTATTTCGTGTGTTAAGGCATTTTTTAATTGGACTGTGTTTGAGTGCAATGAACTATTCTGTATCTCGATAGAAGAAATATATTTACGTATGCCTTTTACTGCTAGCAATGCCAAAACGTTCGTATATTGGCATCATAAACACAACTAAACGCACATAGGACAATGCATTAGTTACAATATTTCATTGTCACGATACAGTGACTGAACGGAAAAGATAAGATTTTCATATACAGTTTAATAATGCACACATAAGATAACTTAATAATTGAGGTTTTTATTCAGGTAATCCAAAATAATTCTTAATTTAAGATAAAAATTATTAATATCAGTGTCATAAAAGTGTTCGTAATTTAGAGTGTCCTGTATTTAGAGGTTTTCTTGTACATAAACAGTGAAAATGTCCCCGTCCCCGAAAAAACGTCAGCTATTTGGAAGTGTCCGCTATTTAGAGGTGTCTGTTAAGGGAGGTTTCACTGTATAACTGAATAGATAAAATCGTATTTTGGCAGATTTCCTTGTTTTATTAAGACGAAGTGTTCAGGTTAAACATTTACCCACATATTTAATTTCCGTTCGTACATAAATGGAAGTGCTGATTATAATTAGTTGAGAATATTATCAAGGTCTTTTTGAAGTGAAAGTGATTTGTTAATATTTGTAAGTATGCTCATTGATATTACTATAATATATAGTAGGTACATATTTTATAAAAGCAATAGTACCTATAAGTCTTAATTAGTCATTATTTTACCACTATCAATTTTGTTCGTGTGATCCTGAAACAGTTTATTAACTTGAATGAGATTTTCAATGATGGCTAGAATAGTCACTATAGATTAAGGGAAGTAATATATTTTTATTTCAAATTCTGTTTTTATTTATTTATTACATTTTCAGTTTAGATATGCCAAAACGTCATAAGTTTTTTTTTTGGTTTCAATTTGGTTTTTGATTTTATAAAGGGTTTTCCTGGTTAATAAGAATATCCTGAAGAAAAATTTAAATAAAAAAGGCCCCTCGCATGTTTTTGGCCTAGGCCAAAAAATATCCCTGAACAGGCCTGGTAAAAGTGTTCACAAATCATTGTTTAGCAATTAATTTAGTTTTGGAACTAGGACACAAGGAGCAAATAAAAAAAAAGTCATTTTTCTTTAAACCACTCATATAACTTTATAACTTGATATAATTTAATATAATATTAATAATAATTTTTTTTGAGTATTTTTCAAAAAAAATCATTTTATGCTGTTTTTTTTTTAAATTCAGTATATAATTTATTATAAACATTAAACACACACAACAATATGAAAAAAGTATAATTATACGTTCTGAAATTGTTACAAGATACCTTAAGTTCTATGGAAAATTCAAACAATAAAATATAACTATTTTTAATAATTACGTATCCCATCGTAATAATAATTGTCTATTAATGTTGAATAATAACCTTTACCTAGTGGATTGGTCCCGGAATTTTTATTAAGAATTTGAAATGTAAATTAAACTTCAAAAGGTCAACCAATAAATTGATTTAAAATGAATTTTTTGAATTGTGTTTATATCGAACTTTTATTAAAAGTAAAAAATAAAAAATAAAAACATATACCTGTACTTAAATCGAATTTCGTTACTTGTGAAATAATTTCAATCAACTCATAGTTACGAGTGAAAAGTAGTTTTTCTTTAACATGATACGCAATCGGAATGATTTGAGCTACAAGACTTCCATTTTACTGGGTTTCAATCACGGTCATTCTCTCAGTGGCCTTTTAGCATCATACGAGCTTATTCTGTCCGTTAGTGATACAAACATTTCGCTCCCTGGGGACACAGGTAGGTAATGTGTCCGACTGCAATGCATTACTAGAGGATATATAAAGGACTTAATGTATGGTATTCCCTTTTCCTCGAAAATATTTCTATTCTTTAAACAAACGAAAACTCTAACTCGTTATTTTGCCCCATTACACCCTACTATCTTTATTAGGTCAAAATTTTGATATGACCTGTTGAAATTAAACTTGCTTCTCCCCCTTTGTGTACATTAATCCGGGATATTTCACATACGTATTGTAAACGAAAATAGTTATATTCGTATGTGATTTATGACAAATACAATAAATATTAAGTAATACATTGATATCAAAACAAATAAAAATAAATACAATTGTGTTTATATCTAAAATTTTTGATTAAACGATTAGTATGTATAATATTATAATTTACCATTTTAAAAATGAACAATACACTTCACATAGATAAAATATATTGAAATATGAGACATAGCTCTAAAAATTATGTTAAGTATAATACTTTGTTCATCGGTGCATAATAATTACAGCCCCAAAAATATTGTCTTATAGATCTGTAAAAATATTATTATTAGATATATTTAAAAAAGTATTTTTAATGTGCTTTTATTTATTTAACTTATTTGAAATATATTGAAGCGATTTCACTTTTAATTCATTATTTGTTAAATTGGACAAACGTTTTTCTTGGATAAAAATACCGATAAATGAAAACCATGGAAAAAAATAAAGAAAAATAACTGTTTGTATCTCCTCCCCCTTCTGCTGTATTTATTAATATTGAACACATTTTGAAACATTTAACTGACAGTTAAACTGCCAATTAATTGAGTATTTGTCAGTAAGATTTTTAATTATTTTTAATTATAAATTGTATTATTTATCAACAAGCAACATCAACAATTAGAGTTAAAAATAACTGTGTCGATAATATAATTTTTATATGTCATGGGTTCACAAAGAACAAAGACAATAATATGTAAAGTTAATCTTTTTTTTTGATTTTTGATATTAAATAAAAACGTAGTTTTTACTATTGATGAAATCGGAATCTTAATTTATGATATTGTATATACAGTGATATAAGTCATTTTTGTAATAAGATTGATGATTGAAGTTTTCAAATAAAATATGAAAAATAGTTATGTTAGTTGCTATGACAATGATAATAATGATTCATAGAGTACATAATGAAGTTGAACATGTACAGGAAATTATAATTTTTTGTTTTTATTATTTATAATAAGTATTGTTTCAAAATAGGTTTCACATTTTATGTATTTTTTATAGATTAACAATTTTTAAATAGCTATGAAACTGAAAATTATTTAACAACTGATAATTAATTAGGTTGCTGTGAGTGTAGTTATAGAGCTATGTCTCCCTGGTTGGATTAAAATCAAAAAAGTTTAAGTTTACCTACCTATGATGTTTATATTATAAGTTAACTAATATTTCTTTAGAAACAACATCCAAAATACATCAATTTATGTATAATATCTCTACAATGAATATAATCATCTAATATCATTTAATAGCTTTTATGGAATATATTTTTCTAACACATAGATAATTCTAAAAAAAAAAACAATAAACTTTCACCATGTGAATACTGTGTAGTAATTATTAATCAGAAAGGTACTAATGTTTGAATATGTTTATAAACTTAAACTAATAACAACAATCGATAAAGTAGCCAGAATAACTATTCTACAAACATTTATTAAAGCATTAACTGGATAAGTAATATAATTTTTGTATTTTCTTTTCTATATTTTGTAAACCACACAATTGTCTTACATAATTAAACATAAATAAGGATGATGGGTAATCATAACAATTATTATATCTTCACTGAATTGTCCAATATTTGTTGTAATCTTAATTTGTAATTGAATCATTAACAAGGAAAATGTATGAGCCAACAAATTAAGATTCACTTTAAACGCTACTTAATTCATTAATTTGTTGCTTGGGCAACGAGTAAATATTATAAACTTAATGAATAGAGAACAATAAAACTTGAAAATATTCTTAAAATTAAATCTCGGACGACAGACATATTGTATTTGGTGTTGTAGAAGGTTACCCAATCCTTGGACCAATCTATTATTGTGTTAATTAGAAATATATTCTATAAATTAATATCTTTAAGCTGTATAATGTGTGAAATTAACTTTATGGACGTTTACGGTTTACTTGAGGAACTTGTGTCGGTGTTAAAGAAAATGAGAAATCAAATTGTTATTATCTTGTGGTAATAAAAATGTCTATTGAGTTTCGCAAAAATAAAGAAATAACACAGTCCAATCGAAATACCAAACGTGAATTTGTTATAACTATTTTTATGTTTTGTTCGTACATATTATTTTTTGTGAGTAATCGTGAAACGATCGCATACAGAGTACATACTGTAATAATTCGTACGTGTAATAATTATTCTTGTCTGTCGTCCGTTTGTGCGAAAATTATTTAAATATTATTATTATTATATTAAATTGTTATAAGACTGAGAGCATGTTGGACAGATATCATAGGTGAACAGATCGATGGATAAAGGTTTAGAGAGAGACAGGTGGATAGACAGAGAGAAACAAATATTGTCGATTTTTTTAAATCAAGGAGTGTGATGTATATTATAGTGACATAATTTTTTTTTATTATATTAATATTATTAACGAGACATGTTTATTTTTTGTCTGCGCCGTCGTTCTTTTCGTCGTTCAAGCGTTTTCTGGCCGCAAAACCGCGGACCCTAGCTTGGATTTTTATAGCAGCTTGGACCAGCGCTTCTGCTTCTGCCGCGTCCTCCAGCGTGGACACTTTGGTCGGATTCTCGGGTTCCGACAAAGTGGTGGTCGGATTCTCGGGTTCCGACAAAGTGGTGGTCGGATTCGTTGCCGGATTTTCAATGGCACTACCACCGCCTCCATTAATGTCGTTGTCATCGCGCTCGAAAACTTCGTCGTCACCTGTCTGCAGCTCATCGTCGTCATCCTCGTAAACACCAACACCACTGACTCCGACATCTGTGACAACATGAGCTCCCCCAATAGTACCGACACCACTGAGACCGACGTCATCACCACCACCAACACCATCACCTCCACCACCCCCGACGTCGGAGGGGACACCGGAAACACTATCTGCATTACCAACACCGGAATTCGGTTTGTTACCTCCGTCATCACTGCCATCATCACCATCCCCTCGTCCGTCGCCGGCGCCACGTGGCTCACATCCGTACTCTTTGAGCGGTGTATAGGTGACGGACACGACCGACTTTTGGTCGTCATCCGACCAACACTGACTCTCGTCCGTGGTCGTTGTGGTCGTGGAAGGGGCCGCATTCTTCAGGGACTGCCTGACACGGTAGCCCCGGAAGCCCGCTTGTATCTTGACCGCGGCCGCATTCACCGCCTCCACGTACTTCCGGGCGCGGAAGCCACGGTACACCGCCTGTATGGTGGTAGCCGCCCGGTCATCGGCCCCGTTGTCCTGCGCTACAGCCACCGATCCGTCGGACGATCCACCGTTGGCCGTAGATTTCATGACGGCGTCGATTTCGTTCCCGGGACGACCGTTTTCAGCCCCACCGTCGCCTACAAAACCAAATAATATATTATTCAGGGTTTCTTAAAAAATTATTATCACTATATTTCTGAGCCACGATTATGTTAAAATGGTTGCTAGTATTTTTTAGTCTACAACCAAAACATCGAAGCTATGTTAAATTGTTATTCAAATAGCCATGCATGTCTTAATGTTTAGCTTGGTAAAAGAGTTTACTGTAATATTTCAGTGAGCATACAATAACAGTTGGATGTGAGTCACTGTATAAAGCAGATATAAAGAACATAATAATTTCAGAATACTTTTTATAGAAAACAATTGTGAATTCGTCATACTTGTAAGTAACAAAATATTGATATTATTGACGTAATATAATCGTCAGATATAAGCTTTGAACTGCATCAATATTACATTGTTACTGATCAGACAAATAGAGTCTTAGTGTATTTCCATTAAGTCATATGAGAAAATTAGGTGGCGGCACTTGGAATCTGTATATTATTATTATAATTATTTGGCACCAAAGAATTTGTACTACCATCAAACACAAGACAATCGTACAAAACATCAAATTTGTCGTAAACAAATCAGTCATTTTCAACAAATTATAACGGTAATAATTAAGACTTAAAAGTTTTATAGAAGTCAAGGTTGATAAAATGCAGAACACATATTAAATCTTAAATATTTAAACATAAAAAAAATATTCAAAATTATAACTTCTTAGGCAACTATTAGTTGTATAGGTACTATAACTATTTTACTTGCATAAAAGTACATTATATAATTTTTTTTTTTTTTAATTTATAGGTTTAGTAATAAAATGTATTGGTTGGTCAAATGTCATAATAATATTTTGTCATACCGCATGTATACAGTTGGACTATACACATCGATTAATCAAACAAATTTGGTATAGTGGAAGTATTGGATTTTTACTATTTTACTCAAAATTTAAAAAAATTAAATTTCTTAGTATAATGTTAAACAACTATGTATAAATATATAAGGTAGATATAGAAATCAAATAAAAATGTATGGTTTATATATTTATTAAAAACATATTTATTATATTATACAATGTAAAATAAATAATTTAATGTATGTATTTTTTTTGTTTAAATATTTAAGATTTAATATGTTTACTGCATTTTACCAATCTTGACTTCTATACAACTTTCAAGCCTTAATTATTATCGTTATAAATTGGTAGGTAGATACTCTAAGTATTAATTTATTTTATAAAATTGATGAATTGAACTTATAGCTGGGTCTGATATACATCGAAAGCATATAGAAACATATTTAATTCGTTTAACATCGGAGCTTTAACAATAATTATTTTGATATTATTACGAAGGACATAATAATGACAATAATAATATTATCATTGGTTAGTAAGCGAATACATGCATGAAGATTATAATTAACTGTTAAGCTTGTTAAGGATAATTGTGTCAAAACAAATATAAATTACATTCAAATGCTCCAATCAAAAAAATTAAGATGCTTCCTGGTTTGTACAAAATTGAAAATACTCCAACACGAAGCATCGATCACTCATTTCAAGCACCATTCAATTAAACCTTATCATTTATATTGATATGCTTTCAATTAACTTCTTCGATCACATCAATTACGTCAGCAGTCTGCAATACAACCACCCAGACAACATTCTTACCTTGCTCAAATGTGGAAGCCCTACAATATTCTCATAATAAGATGAAATGAAAATAAATAATATGAAATAAATTGTATGCATGCAAAAATAAGATAAAAATAATATAAAAAGACAAATGTTAATATTGAATTATTTACCTATTAAATGCATTTCTATTATATAACTTAAGCATTCATTATTATTATTTTAATGTTTATTTATCATCATGCATATTGCTATATTGTATTACTAATGTCGAGAAATGTATTTTCATTGTAAATTATCAATAGGTAAGTTCAAATGACTAAGTCAGGAAAACTTTAAACTTCCATTGAATAGTCCGTAACGAATAGTTAAACGGTTAAAATATGATGTATTTAGGTATACATGAAGGAAACGAGGACACGTGGTATTTAATTAAGGCAATTATTATACTACTTTCTAACCATAGTCAATTTAAAGACTAAATAAATATACCTACTTGGACCATATTACAATTTACAACATTAATATAAATTGAAAAATAAACTCAATAGGTACCTGTATTATAAAGACTTATAATGTTTGATAAAATAGGTGATATTTGGGGGTGCTGAATTTTGAAATTAGCACTCCCAACTTTGTTCATATTAATTTACATTTTTATAGTGATTATACAAGTATCTACAACCATAAGATAATATGAAAAAAATAAAAGGGCTTCAGCTCCCTATTTTTTTCATTGAAATTGTGTAATCGATACACAATTTAAGTAAAAAATTAAGATATTACACACAATAATATGACTAGCACATTTTAATATTTATTTTTATATAATATCAAAATAAGGAAAGTACTCGTATAATTTTTGTGCCAATGCTTCTGTCTTATAAATTCGTGAAGATCATTAAACTTATTTAATATTTGAAATTAATGTAATGATCGTAATATTGTTTTAATTAATAGACGCGCTCTTTTGTCAATTATTTTTTATAAATACCTAGATACATGTAGTGCATTGAAGGAGTAAGTAGTATAATATTATGAAGTGATGATTTAGCGCCTTTTTAAAAGTCGATGATTGTTATTATTTTATTTTTTTTACCATGCATTTGTGAGTTTATACTTTTTACTTGTCAAAGACACTAATACAAAAACATACCTAGGATAAGTCTGGATGTTGAAAATGTACAATAAGTTCTACAATTATTTTAACCAGTGTGGTCGCATTCTGCTGTTGTGATGAGTAATAAACGATAGTTTAAACACACCGTTCACATATTTGACACGTGTGCGCATTTCACTACATTTTAAGTACATAATATAGTATATATAGTATGTATATAATATACCAGATACCTATATATATATATGTATATACAAGAGTATCGTTTCAAAAAAAAAATTATCTGAATCAAATTTGGACTTAAACATATTGCAATAACAAGTCTATCTACCAAGTATGTTTTAAAAAAAATATTTGAGCTCATCTCTTTTTTTCTATGTTATTGTGAAATTAATTATTTTTGAATAACTGTTTTATTTTATAAATTATAAATAATGACCTTCTTAAAATTTGAGAAATACTAATTGAATTTCATCCAATCTTAATTCAACTAAAATATCAAAAACCGTTATTACCAATAATTAGAAATGTGGCCGATGTGCTCAAATATTTGAACAGAAATTAAATAGTATCAATTGATTCTACGTGGTATAAGCAACTCAAGTCAAAAAATGTTCAACTTTGACTGAATACATTGATAAATTTAGAAGAAAATACAGATTTTTTTGGTACTAGTTGTATATTCAAGTATTTTAAATATAGTTTGGTACAAATATCTCATGCCTACTTTTGATTAAATACAATGTGTACAGATACAATTTTTAAATATAAATGTTTGGAAAAATAAAAATCACTTTAGTCCATTTATGATTTTAAAACCACTTTACAACATGCATTTTGTCATTTGTCAGTGGTACATAAATCGTCACATGGTCTTAAAATTAATATTAATTTTAATTTTAATACCTCTATTTAATATATGAGTTAAGATATTCGTACCGAGTGCAAACACAATATGTTATATTAACTTTAGTAAACTTACGTATTTGATTAAAAAAGTTGAAAATGAAACGTTTAAAAACACCCATTGGTTGCTAAATAAAATATGGTAAGAACATCTTTCTTTTAATATTTAAATATTGTATCACATAGCAATTAAAAATATATGAATATTAAACACAAATACCTACTACCAAAGTTTATTTTAGTTTAATTTATTTAATTTTGTCTTAATGATAATATTAAGTTTATTTTATTTTAATTTATTAAAATTATTTTTGATAAAACTAAAATAATTTTTTTTGTTATCTTTAAATGTATTATACAGTGATGGTTATTTATGTTTGTGTGTGTATACATTTTTATTTTTAAATAATGTGAGTTTAGTATTGCAATATTTTATTAACTTGTTACACCAAGTAATAACACCAATCTGTATAACAGTGTAGTCTCAAAGTATTAAGTAATTTTAGTATCCATTTTAGCATTCATTGTCTTAAGTCATAAATAATATATCACATATAACCATATATTATAACGAGTAACTAATTAATTCACTCAAGATTTGACACAGTTTTAAAACTTTAAATTGCTTCTCAAATAATCTAGACACTTTTGACTTAAGTCGTTTGTACCAAGCATCAAATCATTATATTATGTAGGTGTGATTTTGTCAGGCTATAATAGGTAGGTCTAAAATCTAAATCGTGTGGCCGCCTCCAAGTTTCCAAACATTTTAGTACATTTCACTTGGAAACAAATAAATAAAAACTTTTTAATGTTCTTACATATGTACCAAAGTTATAATTTATAAAAATGTAAATCGTAAACATTCATACACGTAGAATGCACACTATTGAGTGGTTTTTAAATCTAACCCTAGAACTTAAAACAAATTACTCATTTTGGAACTTTTGACAAAAAAAAAACTATTACAAAGATATAGTTTTACTTTGGAATTATCAGTTGGATAATTTAAAAGTAACTTTTAGTTATATTTTAACGCATTTAGATGCATGACGAATGACTATGTTAATACAATAACAATAATATTATTATGTAAGTTCACTGTCAAAATAGTATGCGCCATCTATTGTAGAAAAGTTCAGCCAACACGATTTCTGACTTCAATGTTATTTGCAATTAAATATATTATCAGAAGTATAACCTTTATTTAATTTAAAGGATATTCAATATCTATCATTTCTAAGGAGTTTTCTTTTAAGAAATATTCTAAATGTGGTCATAAGTGTTGTACGAATGTTTAGAATTACTTACGTAGTACGTAGCTAGTAAGTTCTTATTATAAATATTCATACACGTGA